TTGTTTCAATTCTTCATTTGAAGAATAAGTTTATTAATTGGAAAATAGTCGATTTTTTCTGTCTAAATTTCTGGTTTGGTTTATTTTGTTTTACGGCATATCAACACCTCGATGAGTTATTTAATACCGTCGAGATATTTAGAATAGGCAATCATTATGAATAGAATATGTATTCTTTGTAAAAAAATCAGTTTGTAGATGTTTCATTGAAAGTATTTTTTGTAAAGAAGGTTTTTTTTTCGAGAATCAAATCTATTGCTGGTAATTTTTTTAAAAATGTATTGCTAATAATATTTTTTTTTTTTATCCCAAAAATGTATTGCTGGTATGTTTTTTTATAAAATCTATTTTTTTGCAATAGTATTTTGACTCCAGTTTGGGGAGGTTTTAATAATTGCCCATAGCTGGGACCCCTAACAAATGCTGCTACCACGCTGAATTTCTGGAATGATCATTATTTGAATTCAGAGTAATTGCTTCATCTTTAGTGTTGTTATCATAACCTTTAGATCGTTGTGCCCTCCGGCCTTCAAGAAAACCAGAAAAAAGAGGGGGGGGGACTGTAGATGGTTCTCGTTTGCTGTCCATCTCTTAGGGAGATAACTCGTCTTGTTCTTATTCAGAAGTCTCAGTTATTGTTCGGCCAAAGATCGAGATCACAAAAACAACATGTCACTAAAGCTTAAATCCACTGAAATAAGGCCGGAGGGCGCAATGGTTGAAATGTTGTGATAATAACAACAAAGATGAGGACTTTCGTCTGGCTTTAAATAATGTAAATAAGAGTAGATAGATTCGCCCATCGCTCGGTTCACCTCCTCCCCGGTCTTTGGAACAGGAATAGAAGATTATTCGTTGTTTCCATTTTATTTGATTGTGTTTTATTTCCTTTTAAAAAACTTTTATTTTCTTTCCTCAGTTGCCCTTGCGTCTACGTGGCATTATCGCTTTGCTTATATGAATTGATTAAAAAAAACAAGGATCATAATTTTTAAAATGGCGGTTCCAGTTTAGAAGAGAATAATCAAAATCAGTCAAAGGGAAGGCAAAAGGCTCGATAAAAATGAATTCCTTTGAATTGAAGAATAAAAGAATGGATATCTGTATTAATGATGTAAAAAAGTACAAAACTCAGTTTTAAATAACTTTTGGTTTTTTTTTCACGATTTTATATCTCAATTCTGCATAATGGTTAGATGTTCAGGGACCTCTGCAAAAAAAAAAAAAAATCCAGATTTAAAATGAAATTTTTTGAATGAAAATCTTTCTGGAGCTTTTATTTTAGTTTTAATTTCAAATGCTAATAGATTAAATGTAATATTTCTAATAAACAAAATACTTTGCTACATTTCAAAAACTAATTTAAATTGACTGGAAGGAATTTTTTAAATAGCTGATTAGCGTTTTTTTTCGTCTTCTTCCATCGCAATTGTTTTACTTCCTTGTTTTAAAAATCATCCAAAAATAAAATATATGTTTCCGAAACCTTATTTGAGAAATATTAACTGATTCAAAGGATAATTAATCTGATTTGAAAGAAATATTATTTAATTTAAGTTTAAAATAGCGCAGAAATGCATTTATAACCCGACAGTTGCTGCTTTGACGTGTTGACAGCTTGATGACACATCTAATTTTGTTCTACGGAGACTTTATCTGTAAAAAACAAAAACAAAATCATAATTGAAGATAATTGACGTGAACGCCATTTTTTCCTTTTGAAGTACTCAGTAATCTTAAAAAATTTTCATGAAAATATTCTTCGTAATCTAATGTTTTAGTGAATTTTAGAAATGTTGAGTTTAAATTTACTATAGTTATCGCTCTTATTTTCTGATAATGTCGTGTATGGTCATGTCGTACTTACAAAAAATCGGGACGTTTATACGCATACAAAAATTCAAAATACATTTTTAAAATATTGTTAATTTGATGATTTTTTTATTATTTTTCCATTTATGATTAGTAAATAGAGTTTTCATTTCCTTCATCACCTAAAAAAGCTGAAATTAATACAGAATTTTAAGAGATTTAAAACTTAATAAATTTTTCTAATTAAATTTTTTCTTAAGACAATAGTCTAATATTTTTTTGTACGGTCGTTATATCTGTAAAATTTATTTAAGGAATATAACGTGAGCGCCTTTTTTTATATAATTTTCAACTACTCAGTAATCTTAAAAAATTAGAAAATATTCTCCATAATTTAGTGTTTTATTGAATTTTAGGTACTTTGTTTTAAATTTACTATAGTTATCGCTCTTATTTTCTGATTTTATCGTGTGTGGACGTCCGTATTTATAAAAAATCGGCACGTTTATATAAACACAAAATTTTCAAAATTCTTTTAAAAATATTGATGTTGGAAGAATTGTAGCAAGCTTTTCCATTTATGATTAGTAAATATAGTTTTTTACTTAATAACATTATCGCCTAATCTGTACAAAATTAAGACAGAATTTTAAAGATTTAAATTTTCTAATTTATTATAATTTTAAAAAAATAAAAAAAAGGCCTTGTAAAAAAATTCATTATTCATTATTCATCGAAAATTTTTTTTCTTAAGGCAATAGTTATTAATATGTCTTATTTTTTAAAAGCAATTAAAAAGTTTTCTAATTAAATAATAATGTTTCCAGTTTCTATTTAAATCTAATTTAGATGTAAATAAAAAAATGGAAACATTTGGAGATGGAAAAAAACCTTAAAGAATAGATTCTTTCAACGTGAACATATTTTACTTGCACGGATATTTAAACTGGTTTGAAATAGGGCATTCCAGATTTCAACAACACTCATTTGAGTGACATTTTGTTATTTGAATAGCACCCACTTTGCAAAAATCAGTTGAAGACTGGGAAGTTTTTTCTTTTTTGGACTCTGCCAAGTCACTAAGTCATTTTTTTTATCACCGTTTTTTTTTTTGGCAAAGAACTTTTCCACGGCTGATCGACGTGAAAAAAAAAACATCATTGAAATTATTGTTTCTTTGAATAAAATTATTTGAAACTAGCTTAAAATACCTATATAATCGGGCAACATTTAAACTAGCTCCTAGATGGAGGGGTACTTGATTGAGCCTTCATCACAATAGGTCAGGGAGGAGTAGATGCAAAGAAGAACTCAAAATTGGTCGCTGCATTTAAGTATTGCATAAATATCGTAATTCCCCATATATAATACGCCTTCATCCATAATACACACCTAAAATTGTGCTGAAAGTGTGGGAAAATGCTTCTACTCACGCATAATACGCACCCCTTGTTTGGAAATCAAACCCCATAAATTGTACCTCTCAATTTCATTACGATCAGCGTTTCCTACTCTTATTAAAAAATTGTTTTAAACATAGAATAATATTATTCTAATTTAGTTTTATGATAATTCTTATTTTATTTTACATTTGTAAAAGTATTGTTAAGGTACATATGATTGTATTTGACATACTAATGGGGTCACAATCGCCAAAGGTTAGTGTCAAATTGTTGTATGTTTTGTGGTGAGTAATCATTTCGCAACTGAAATCGACCTATGAAACAGCAATTTTTAAAGATTTTTTTTAGCTGTATAATACGCACCCCTAATTTTGCTTATTATTATTTTTAGAATAAAATGCATATTATACATATGGGATTACATAATTTAAGCTTACCTTTTAAAAGTTCAACGATAATTCTTCTGTCGCCACTTAATTTAAAAACAATTTGATGTATGTAGGTCCTTACTTTCCGTACAAACATTTTTTTTTTTCATGAGTGACTTTCGCTGTATTTCGCTATTAATTTTGATGATTCCCAAAATTTATTTCCAAGTTATAAAAAACCGTCCTTCGTACAGAAAAATTTGTCGCAAAAAACATGTAAAATATCGCCGAAAACAATTGCAGTAATTTCAGGATTGCGACCTGGAATGTTTTTAATCTGTTCATGGAGTCGGCATGTTGGGCAACGGCCTCCAAAGATTTGTTATGGTCCAGGTTAGGACCAAGGAAGAACAACACGAACACAAGAGTAGAAATAACGAAGGTATATTACACGAAATAATAATACAAGATGTCGAAGGTGTTAGTATGACTGTCAGTCTGGTTTGGAGTGAACTACTATCGGCTCGACTCGATTCGATATTTAATTTCCCCCCCGAGGGAAAGATGTGGCACAAGGCCGAGTTTTACGTGGGTTTAACGAGCCCCGTAGGCTCGGCCAAAAAATGCCCGTAGAAACTGTAAAAAACGGAATCGGGTTGGTCAACCTCCCCGAACAAGACTCTGCCCTTCGGCGGAGCCTCGTCCGGGTTCCTCTCTGCTCAGAGGCAGAGAGTTCGACCGTCAAGCCGAGAAGCTCGGCTTGATTCGGTATCTAGCCACCCCCCACGAGGGTTGCATGTGGCACAAGGCCGAGTTTAACGTGGGTTTCCCGAGCCCGTAGGCTCGGCCAAAAAATGCCCGTAGAACCCGTATAAACGGGATCGGGTTGGTCAACCTCCCCGAACGAGACTCTGTCCTTCGGCGGAGCCTCGTCCGGGTTCCTCTCTGCTCAGAGGCAGAGAGTTCGACCGTCAAGCCGAGAAGGTCGGCTTGATTCGTCCCTCTCTCTTGAGAGACGTAGTATACATAGTGTTAGGAAGAGTTCATCCTGTAGTTATAGGTAAGGACCCATGACAAGGAGTAAAGTTGAAAAAGTGTGACACACTGACACACTGACATTCGCATTTATTATAGAGAAACAAAGCAGACGGCTTGTTAACCAAGGGGGAAATGTAAAAAGGCCAAGGGAATATTATAATGAAATCATTTTTAAAAAATAATCATTATTTAAATAAATCAGCAATTGGATGTTAAATAACAAGATACATAACCAGAGACTAAGCCGGTTGTTCATGTGGTCGATGCGTGGGCGGGCATCTGGATGCTGAGAGCGAGTGTGTGTAAGGGAAGAGATAGCATCAGCTGAAAATAGATGCGCTTGTACCATCATTACAATTCGATCCAGGTTCCTCATAAGCTAGCGATAAAAAGAAAGGCAAAAATCAGGGAATGAGAGAGAGAGAGGAGTGGAAGTAAGTTTGGGAATTGGAGAGGAGGATAAAAGGAGAGAGAGGGGGAAAGATGAGGAAGGAGACAGAAAGAGTGAGAGAGGAGTGAATGTGAGAGTGCAAATGGGAGAGGAAAATAAAAGGAAAGAGGGAGAAGAAGTGGAAGTAGAGAGTGAAAGTGAGTGTGGGAATGGGAGAGGAAGATAAAAGGAGAGAGAGTGGAAGGAGAAAGAGTGAGGAATAAGTGGAAGTAAGAGTGTGAATGTGAGAGGAGGGATAAAAGGAGAGAGAGGAGGAAGATGAGGAAGGAGGAAGAAAATGAAAAGGAGGGAAGTGTGTTTAAAATGGGGAGAAGGATAAAAGGAGAAAAGAGTGGGTGATGATAAAGGAGAAAGAGTGAGAAAGAAGTGGAAGTGAGAGTGTGAATGGGAGAGGAGGATAAAAGGGAGGAGTATAAGGAGATGAAAGAGAAGGGAGAAAGAGAGAGGAAGGAGTGGAAGTGAGAGTGTGAATGGGAGAGGAGGATAAGATGTGAGAGGGATGGGTGAAAGTGGGAATGAGGGAAGAGGATAAAAGAAGAGAGTGGAAGAGTAGGGAGAAAAATGAGGGAGAAAGAGAGAGGAAATAGTGAGAGGAGGAATAAGAGAGGAGGATAAGAGGTGAAAAAGAAAATATCTGTGGGAGGCAAAGGAGGAGGGAGAGAAGGTAGAAAGAGATAAAGAGAGGGACCAGAAAGGTAGAAAGATTAAACTAGAAAGATTAAAGCAAGGGAGAAAAGACTGAGAGAGTGTTTGTCTAAAAATGGAGCCTTTTGCCAGAGCTGGTCTAATAATACCAAACATCTATTCAAAAGAGACAAATAAAAAAAAAGACAGAATGCATGGTCACGGAGATGTGGTTCTACAGAAGGATACTGAGGATATCATAGACCTAGCATGTGAGCAACGATGAGGTCTTAGAGAGGTTGCAAACAAGGAGGAGGCTTATACTTAACACCAGGAAGAGGCAGCTGAAGTTTCTGGGACACATAATGAGGAACGGAGACCTGGAGAATCTGATACTCACGAGTCGAATAGAGCGAAAGAGAGACAAGGGAAAACAACACGTGACATACCTGGCGAACTTAAGTGGATGACAAAACATCTGGGGGAGGAAGTAGAGGGAAGGAACTTGTTGAGAGCTGCAAGGAATAGGGGAGAGGTGGAGAGCCATGATCGCCTACGTCCTGAAAGGATATGACACATAAAAAGAAAAGAAGCACGCCGACAAAGTAAGATTAAAGAATGCTCATGTCACACAAGAATCCGATTCTCAATGAGCTCTTCAAAATGTAACCTTGTGCCAGACATGGTTTAAGAGACCATAATAGATTTCCCATATTCAAGCCGTAAAACAAATGGTCATCATTTTGACTCTTGTCATGGTCAATTCATTTGTAGCGAACATATCAAAAAACGAATTGAGTGCATACATTAAATAAATCTCAAAACAGGAAGAAGAAGCTACATTGATTTTGGTGACCCTTTTCTTGACCTTTTCAGTCTTCCTATTTCAATCACTAAAATAACAAAGGAAGTAGGAGGATATTTGTTCTGTCACCGGAATGATGACGTGTGGTGTGCCTTCAACACACACGCAGACGCATGCACACACTAACACACACACACACAATATATACACACATTGTCCAATGTCAATACATTCGGATTTCATAAGTAAAGACTTTCGTTTATAATATTGTGATCAAGAGTATTGTTTTTTTTTTTTTGTCATGTTTTGTCTAATATCGAGTCTTTGTGCATCATGACAGTTTATTTAAGCATTGCAACTGACGAAATTTTTAGAGAAAATGGAAAAAAAAGGAAACTTATACTGGAAGGTCTTGGAAGATCTGATACTTGTTACGGTTTTTTGGGTATATATGGCGTATAACTAGGGTATTTATTCTTAAAAATACAAGGAATTGTGGCACAAGGCCGAAAGGGGAGGGAGTAGAGGCTGGTCTTCACTAACTATCTTATACCTAGCTAATCTGATTCACGACCCATTCATACGTTACAATTTACTCATTCACCACAAGAACTTGTCCATCACCACTCAATCCTTCATGCACCATAATACCAGATTCTCACAAGGGGACCTACCAAAAACGCGCCCCAAACCATAAAAAATTGGATGATGATAAATATTCTATACATAAAAATCTAATAATGATACAATGAGAGGAGGAGATGAACCCCGAAAATAACTAAAAATATACACAAAATACAAACTAAACATAATATATGTTAGTAGGGACCGTCCAACCCTCAAAACAGAGAGGCCGCTGTATTCTGCCCAGAGGACAAAATCAAGAAGCACTCTCGCTAAGGGAGTGGGAAAAGAGGATAAAATATTATACGGACATGGGAAAATGTAAAGCTGATCCAATCGAGATGAAAGGGGGACCAAAACAAACTGGGGAGGCTGGGAATCTCGACTTGGACCATAACCAAAGAGCAGCCGGGATACAGGCCAGGAACGACACTTACTCACATTAACTAGGTACACTGAAGCTTGTCTAACCTAACCAAGGGGAGGGTTCCGCAGGAAGCCACCCCGATGTGCTATAGGTTGACCTAAAAAAAAAATCAAGGCTAGCCCCGGTCACACGAACCAGGCTTGCTACTTTTTACCCACCTTTCGCTGAAGACTGTCGAATGCAATCGTTTTCTATCAGATCTAATCTTCATCTTGAGCTGATGCTCAAAGAATTGGATTAGATGCTGATAAGAAAGACGGTTGCCCCGCAAAGACTTCCTCCATTCGCGTCGTCCAAATCACCATTCGAGCCGTGGCCATCAGCATCAGAAACACCATTCGTTTCTCCCCGGAATACGGGGGCGACACATTGTCACACGCGTATGCGCGATCCATGGACACTAGCTGTTCGGGGAGCGAGACGAGCCGTCAGCTCGCCGACATGGTCCCATAAGGGGCGGACCCGGGGCAATGGTAGAAGGCGTGCGCAGCCGTTTCTTCTAAACCAAGACCACACCGTTCACAGTCTGGCAAATCCGCCAAACCCCATATGAAAGCCTTGTCATTGAGAGGCAGCCGATTCCGAGCCAATCGCCAGGTAAGCGAAAACTCAGGGTTACTGAGGTAATCCGCCGCTGGCGCCCAAGACCAATAGGAGCGATACTCCTCCTCCGACAAGCCGAGCGTATCACGTAGTTTATCCTTCGCGCGACCCTCCACTAAACCACGATAGAAGACCTTCCTAGGCCGTGAAAGGTCACTGGACCGGGAATGGCCTTCAAGGCCAACCGACACTCGCGGATGAAATCCGACTCATCCCGGGGTTTACAACGGCGCTCAGCCCGCGAGATGGGGGACTGATAGTAAGGCTAGGAAGGCGTCCCTAACAATCCCCTCCAGAATCGGATCTCCTCTAGTCAATGCGCGGCGTAGGAAAGCCAACCTAGAGGCACGGATGTGACTCATAAGGTGCGGCATTCCCAGCCCCCATGACACGGACGTTTGGTGCAGACTCGTCTGTCGACCCTGTTCACGCGTCCCCTCCATAAAATGGAGGATAGCGATCGCTCGAGCACCTTCCTGCGGTCTTTACAGAGAGGAAGTACGGACAACCGATAAAGGATCAGGGGAAAATGTATGTAACACACACCTCCGCCCTGCCCTTCACGGACAACCGCCGTCGATTCCAAGTCTGACCGGCATAATCGACCTTTGCACGTACTTCAGACCAATTCTTCTCCAGCTGGAGGTCGGGCCCAAACCACACTCCAAGAATGCGGACAGGACCGTCCGTCCAACCGAAGCGGCCCGGAAGATCGACCCCTTCCAGGCACCTAACCGCAAGCCGGACGACTTGTCGCGGTTTATCTTGGCCCCTGTCACCTTCTCGTACCGATCAAGCGCCTTCTGTACCGCCTCAATGTCGCTGCGGGACGACACGAAAGCAGATACGTCATCGGCGTACGCGGAAACCCTGGCTCGAGACCCTCCAGGCACGGCAATTCCACGTAGGGCCGGACTGCCGGTCTCGTCCTTCAGCCGGCGAAGGAGAGGCTCCAACGCCAAAGCATAAAGGAGAGGCGACAGCGGACAACCCTGACGAACCGACCTAGACAGCACGAACGCGTCCGACAACCTTCCGTTCACCTGTACCACAGCACTGGGGGAGCGATACAGGAGGCTAATCCAGCGGCAGAAGTTGGCTTCGAATCCAGCGGCCTGCAGGACAGTAGCAAGGTAGCGATGGTCAACCCTATCAAATGCCTTGGACTGATCCAAATTGATCAGCGCGGCTTCTTCGTCGTCTTTTACACCCTCTATGATCGTGCGGATCAGATGCAGGTTGCTCTGAATTGTTCGGCCCCTCACAGAACAAGTCTGCTCAGGTCCCAACAGAGACTCGGCAACTGACTGCAAACGCTCCTGCAGGATCTTGGCCATAATCTTTAACTCTGTGTTTAGCAGAGTTATGGGCCTATAATCATCTAGGTTCCCCCACCACCTTTGCCCTTTTTCAACAGAGTGATCACGCCCCTGGTAATCCGATTGGGGATGGACCCCGACCGAAACCAGTTGTTGAACACTGCTGTCAAAATCGGATCAAAGATGTGCGACAGCCTCAATTACAATTCATAGGGCAAACCATCCAGACCGGGCGACTTGCCTCTGCCGACCTTCTTCAAAACCGCGTAGACTTCGCCCTCCGTAATCTCTCCCTCGCAGCTAGCCGCTTCAGTCGGCGAAAGCCGAGGAAAGTCAGCCAAATAGCTGCGAAACTCCTCCTCACGGAGACCAGGCTCCTTGGTAAACCGGCGTTCGAAATGGCGCCGAAAAGCCTCGCACATGCCATCAGTGGCCCGAAGAGTGTGCCCCTCCGGGGACTTGACTTCACGAATGAAACGATCGCCACCTCGACGGACCTCTTCCCTGCGCAGATCTGCGCCCAAGTTCACAGCTTCGGAAGACATCTTACTTAACTTATGTCTAATTACCTGGCCCATGTACCGCTCGCTATTCAAACGATCCAGGGCCGCCCTAGCTAAGACTATCTCTAGGGGATCCCCCCCAGCCACCGCCCGGGTGTAACTAGCTTTAAGTGTCTTCACCTTATCAGCTCTATCTAGAGCGAGCCGTTTGCTGAAATCAGTGGTGAAAGACCTAATCCTAGACTTAAGGCGTTCCCACCACTTATTCCCGATAACCGCCCCCACTAATTCCCGCTGCACTAATCTAGTTAGCTGCTCCCGGAAGTCCTGCCTGTCCAGTAAAGACAGATTGAACTTCCAGTAGCCAGCCATTCTAGGCCTATGATCTAACGCTACACGGGCACAAACGAGTTTGTGGTCCGTGTAGCCTACCCAGTGGAACGTAGGGCAATCTAGCAGATCTATGTCGGCTCTTCTAACTAACATTCTGTCAAGGTAGCTAACCACCTTTCAGAAGGCCAACTAAGAGCCCACGTCCACATGTTCCCCCCGGTATCTATCGACGAGACCATAATCGTCGATCAGATCAACCAGGCTACGATCGTCCCTTCTCCCACTAGCACCCCGCCCCCTGTCTAAGTCGGGGTCCAGAATGGCATTCCAGTCCCCCATTAAAACTAGGCGCGTTGAATCAACCAGGAACGGCCCCAACCGCCGAAAAAACGAGACCCGCTCCTCCTGGTCATTGGGCGCATAAACCGCAACGACTCGGAACGAACCACTTTTCACGGCAATATCGGCCAC